GTGTAAAGTTTGCTCTTACTAACAAAGTGCTGGTTTTTCATTTAGCATTTCTTTCAAACAGAGGAAGCTGAGAGGAGATTAAGAAAGCAAGGTGAGAAGATTATCAAGATCATAATTTGATATTTGATAATCTCTGAATAATCATTAAAAACAGATGAAAAATATAAGCTATAACTTTGTACTTGGGCATGTATGTAATTTTTCTACTTTACAGGTCTGTACAAACCAGTATTTTCAACTCGAGAAGAAATCTTCAAAGTGACAAGTAGAGTACAAAACCTTCAAGATTTCCCAAAAAAGAGATACCTATATAATTGGAAAGATAACCATTTCAGTCCATCAATGTTGTGTTACTGATATCCTGAAGAGGGTAAAAAACCAGCTTCACCCAGTTTGGCCTTCTCCAGTAAAAAAAATAAGTAATTTAAATAAATACTTCTCTTGAATACTACCGCCAACAGCTAGATATCCTGTAACCTGTGCATTTTTGCTTGTTCGTAACTCTAGTTGTGTCTGGATGGGTGCCAATTACTGCTTTTTTTCAATTAAAATTAATAAGCCTTGATCTGAATTGAAATGAAGCGTCCCTCTAGCACAAAGAAAATCAGGTGTTGATGCATGGAAGGTGGCAGTGACAACTCCACTGGAATGATCCACCTCCTGCTCTGTAACACTGAGCAGAGTCCTATTCACACCTGTCTGTCCCATGTTGACATTTCCCTCTTTGTTTTAAGGCTAAGTGATGTTTATTCCTTCTCTATGCTATACATCAATTGCAGAAACATGTAGTTCATTTCTAAAAAAAAAAAAAAAAAGCCCTCCTACATTGCACTGACCTAAGATAATTTATCTCAAAAAAAAAAAATCAATTTTTCTTCATTACCATATTAAATTACAAAAACGGATGACAACGTGCCTGCTAGCATGGCAGCTTCAGGCTATTCAGGCTTCTTGCTTTACTTAGTACTTCTATCAAGAGAATCCTTCTATCTGACCTTATTCTAGAAACTCCCAATTTGGCATTTAATTTACAATGAAGCATCTACAAAGCTGGCCCAGGCATTCCCTAAGAGGAAAAGAAGGTACATAGACAGAAATACTATAGATACCGTAAGTCCATCCTGAACTAGGAAGAGCTGATTAATAGTGAAGCAAAAATAAATTTGAAAAATTGAAACCGAAAAGCACTCTGAATTTTCTTTAATATTTACTAAGGAATAATTGCAAGGCATAGCAGAGGCACACTAGCAAAATTTGTGCACTACCTGACACCAGGTACAGTAAGTTAATAGTTCATTTAGGTGTTTAACATATGAATCTGACACACAAACGTATCTTCAGCTCCTCGCCTCCTCCTCCTTTTCCCTGCCTCCTGGTGTACACACGATTATGGCAATTAGATCTCTGGTTTCTCATCTGGACCCATCATAGCATGGCTGGTAGGCCCTAAGTGATTCTAGGGGTAAAAAGGCTCGGTTTTGAGCTATATGAGAAAATCTAAGCATTTGCAAAATAAAGAGAAAAACATTCTACAGAAGGAACTATTGATCAGAATTGGATCAAAATGTCAATTTCATCCCCATTTTGAAAAAGACTGGTCCTAAATATTCAAAATTAGGAAGTAAATTTTAAAAGATACACATTTTAAATATACAATAAAAGACTATGGGAAAAACAACACATTGGAAAACATATCCAACCAATAAGAATGGCTCAACTATTTCCTGTGATTCTGTGGAATTCATTCAGAATTCAAAGTTGGTAACAAATATTTTAAGCAATGCTAAAACATTTTTATCCTGCAAGACTGTGCTTCAACACGAAAAAACTTTCAGTAACTAGGAAAAAGCTACAAGAGAGATTTAATCATTTCATGAAATGAACGCATGATTATTAGCCACCACAAGGAAAACAACTGAAAGTAATCTTTCTTAACAATACCAAAAATTTCAGCTTAGTTTGAAATGCTATTCATTTTTTCAGGTTGCAACGTTACTCATTTCCTCAGGTCTACGTAAGCAGATAAATACTCAATCTCATAAAATTATGTGATGTGGTATATGAAAACAAACAATTTTCATTGGTTAAAGACCCTATGCATATCATAATAGCTTCCATGTGCTTTAATCTGCTGTCTGTCAGGATGGCTACTTGTTTAAGATGAGGGAGATAATTTTTTACATTGTTTATGAATCCCCTTCCCCAAAAATCAAATGAAAATCCCTCACCTTTAAAAACGCTAAGCTTAGTCTGCTATTTCTATATTGTATTATAGACATGGTGAATATGGAGGTCTCTGACTTACGTTCACGTAATTCGCATTAATGTAATCTTCATCTCCCTGCAGTATTATTCTTGTGGCATCATCTGCACACAAAAACAAAGAGGGAATCAAATTAACAGCTGAGTAGCATGCTTTATTACGCCCTTTTATTAAGTCAAACATAGGAATTGCAAACACACAAACAGCAGAGTACAAAGTAAAACAGATCATCTTTTATAAAATAAAATTATATAACTGATTATGTAATGAAATCTTTAATCAGGAAGTTCAAAAGTTCAGTACAACAGTTTTACAAAACATCATTTAGAAGCTAAAACAAAAGAAGGCTGCAAAGCTGCATTTAATACTCACAAGGTAGAACATCTTTGTATCGATTTTTGTCCATATTCTGAGGTACCTTTGCACATGTAACAGCCAACCCTGGCTTCTTTCTATAAAGTTGCTGCAATATAGAATGAAAAAAAAAAAGATAAGAATTGAGGAATACAGTTTTGTTTTAAAAAACTAAATAGATTCACATGAAGATGCACAGTCCCAAAAAACCTGCAAATTCTTTTCTTTAATCATTTTCCTAACCATCTGCATGTTTCACCTAGGAATTCTTCTTTTTTTTTTTTTTATGTGAAAAGAATTTTTATTGTTGCTACCTGGTCCATCACCATCTCTAGATACAAGCCTTACTTTTTCTTAAAACAGATACCACAGAATTATGGGCTAGCTAGAAGGGAAACTGAGGATGGGGGTTGAAGAAGCGAGCAACAGAACACACCCAAAGAAAAATGTAACAGTTAAAGAGTGATATTTCCTAGAGTTAACTGTAATAAAAAAAATTCAAACTTTTGACTCTCTGGACTAAAACCACCACATTCAATCTTGTAAGTACTTTAAAAGCAAAGCTTCAATATATCACAAACTCTTAGTAGGTAACTGCTCTCCTTTTAGGCCAAGCCCTACTTTGTAAACTTTATCTGGAGTAAGCGTGGATGTGAAAATGTATAACCAAAAGTTCTAATGTCTAAACGCATGAAGAGTATTGTATAAGGCAACAGAAGGTACTGGAAAAAAATAAAGTACTGCAATGATGCAATTGTTTTTATTGTATTACATTCAGATGGAAAGCACTTACAACTCTATCATTAACTAGGTCATGCCAGAGTTAAGTACTTCACTGAACGCTTAAAGTTTATTTTGTGTGTGGAACCATGTTCTGAATCCTCATTACAGTGCAGGATATCATACAGACTAAAAACAATAGGGTGCTGAAAAATGTTCTATTTAGGTTAAAGGAGAAGGAATAATACACAAAGGTTATTCCACTGTAAGGTTTATGGAACTCTAATGGTCAGCATCACAGCTCACCACACATTTTTCAACCTGAACAGCATAAGCAAGGGAAGAAGTCATTTGGGGAGGGATCTTAATAATACATATAAAAAAAACCCACCCACCACCTAGCAGTTAGAATGCAAATTCAAATTTACAGAGCCAAGTTGAGATTTCTAGGTTTTGTTGGAGACAAGAAAGAATATTCAATGTTGAGTACTGTGGCTTGGTTAACATTCATTTGCCATAGACAGACTTCTTAAATTCTGTCTGGGTGGAAATAAAACGGAGGAGGAAGACATTAGAGAAAAACTTGATATATCAAAGTATACAGGCTAATTAGTTATTTTATTAACATGAATGGAGAGATTGGGAATTACCAGTGGTGATGACATGACACTGCAATGGTCTCTGCTTCTGAAGAGCGCTAAAACATCAGTTAATGCAAAGCAAGAAGGCCACTAAGCTGCTACTTAGTTTATTAGATGTATCCACTGATATATGAATTTTAAAATGCGTTAACAACTAAGATAACAAAATAAAAAAGGACTAATAAGTCTTCCTCCTAAACTTAAATTTATTAATGATTTTGTAAACAAAAAAAATCCCTAAAACCTCCCCAACCCCCCCTCCCAAAGGAAAGAAACAACCAAAACTGAGAGTAAAGATGTTTACATGGGGTTTTTACATTAAGTGATATTATAGTTTCAAAATGGTTACAGAATTAATAGAGATTAATTCAGTAATAACAACTGAATTCACCTACAACAGTAATCACATAGGGAATTCCTTTAAAAACTTCCCAAACTCTAGGGAAGTAATGTATTTATTTCATATTTTTGGAGTTACTGTTTCAGTAGTTAACAGACACATCATTATCACAGATTGCAAACAACATTGTGGTTTTCTGAAAGCTGATATATGAACCATGAAGTCTAGAATTCCTTAAAAAGGGTAATCTCAGGTCCCAGAAATCTTGGGAACAGAACAGACATCATAAAAGAAATGGTTACGCAATAAATCAATCTGACTCTTCAGCTACCACCATTAAATCCTGTGGTATTTTTTAATAACAAAGGAAAAATATCAAAACTGGAAAAAATGCATTGCTGTTCTACAAGTTTTCAGATTCAGAAAAAGATTATTCCCTATCTCATGATATAATGTTAATAAATTCTAACAACCAGGGGTCTCCACAGTTACTATAAATGTTTGGACCCCCAACAGCAAAAGGAATGCAAATATACTTACATTGTACTACCCCTCCACTGGAGGGGCAACCCAAAACTATCTTTTCCAATTCCTTATTTTAACTACGAAGATATTAATTTAATAAACTACACAAACATTTTATTAGTCAGTTTTCTGTTAGCGTTCCTTGCTAACACTGAATAACAAACACTAATGAATTAAACTATACAGAAGCTCCTAAGTCTCACTCTATTATATGGGGGAATCTCACCTAGTAAATAATTTGTCCAAGGCATAACCATCAGTGTTTTAGAACACCAGGGAAAAACACCTCAGAACCAGACTTTCCAAACTATCCTTTAAATAGAAATTAACCTTCCAACACTGATGTAAACCTCTAGGAAAAAAAAGAGCAGGAACAGTTAAGTTGCTGCTGTTATTCCGTCAAAGAAAGCAAAACATGAGAACTAACCTAAGGGTATAAAAGATGTTTAAGAAATTTCATTGAGTAGCACAGGAGAAAGAACCAAATTACAAGCAAGATTGACCTCTGTCAAAACTCCACTATTTTACCCAAAAAAGAAATTAAAAAAAATTAATTTAGTCAGCTTTGGGTAATTGAGCTAAAAATTTGTAAATTAAAACAAATTCTTCTAAGCAGATGATGTTTTGTGCAAGACTTACTCTCCCCTACTTTAAGCAGGGAAGGGTGAAACTGATATACAAGTCATACGCTTGCTCCCTTGGGACAAGACTGAATATGAGCAATAAAAATTCCAAGTTATTTAAGCCCTTACATTACTTGCTGGTCACAGCTATTGGTCTGTATTAATGGCATTTGGGAATTGAATATTACCTACCTACCTCAAACTGAATAAGGACTGTCCCACTTTCCAGCCCTTTCTTTAGCTGTTCCATAGACTCCTCCAGTGTATCACCATATTCGGAACAGTTAGGAAGAAGAGATTCGGACATATTCTGGGAATCAGCTTCATCTTCTGATTTGGGCTCCACAAACTGTTTCACTACTGGAACACGTATAGAAAATTAAGATCCTCTACATACAGCGTTAGTGTGTTTGCAACACTTCTATTAAAATTTACCAGATTGTAAGGACAAAGTTCACAAAGAGGAGGCCTGGAGCAGACTACAGAAAGCAAATACCAGTAACAGATTCAACAGCATTTTTGTATGAACTAAGCTACTGTAGAAGCTACTAGGAGTCAGAGGCCGTCATAGCCTTTACAAAAAATGAAACTCCTCAAGGAACCTAACTATGAAGGCAATAACCTGACATCTAAGCGCAAAGAGTTTCTTGCTGCAGTCTAGTCTTACTGAATGAACTGCTTGACAGGCTAATGGCTCACAACGTCCACCAGAGTAAAAAGGAAATAATTTTTGCCTAAGAAGTTTCAGAATATAATCAACGTTCTGAACTCATGAACTCTGAGTAGAACCACTGTTTCTCTGTGAAAGCCATCATATCACTGAAGATGTCCATCTACAGGTGTTCTCTGCAGTGATCAGAATGGCTTATATCTCTCAGATAACAGAAAACGGGGGGCTGTTCACACTCATGACTATACAAATGATTGACATGGGACCGCAATCTTTAGGAAAGGGCAGAGACTTTTCCTATCCCCAAGCAGACGCAGGACTAGAACAGTTAAGGAAAGACCAGATATAGCAAAGTGCCAGTAGAGAGGCCTGGCATAATAGCAGCAGGACTGTGTTCAGGGATAGCAAGACCAAGAGCCCATCTGCCTTCCTAGAAATCTATGAAATTTAAAATAAAGCAAATGTTGCAGAGGAACATAACATTCAGGTCATTTTTTCCCCTCCTGCTCCCTAGTGATGCATAATCACTGCAAATTTCTAACTCATAGTGTAATTAGAAACTCTGTGCAAAACCCTTCCGTACGCATCTGTGCTAGTTAAGGTCTATTACAGCTCCTAGAAAATAAATTATAAACCAGAAGTTTCACAGCTTTCAAAATCTCTTGGGGATCGGCTTATGTTTAAGTACAGAGCAAGTATGAGAGTGAGCAGGATGGGTCCCTGGAGACAGGCAGTTGGGCTATGAGTTCCAGCTCCCTTGAGGCGTCCATAGCCAGTATATCAGTAACTCAAAAGTTAAAATAATGTCCCTTGAATGAAACGCAGCATCTCAGCAGAACTCTGTTTAAAATACAAAGCCTTAAGACCCTACATAGATCAGAGACTGTTTCCTATTTGCTGATAACAACTTGGTGAGTAGCCAGCACAAGTCATCAAGCTCATTATTGTCGGATAACATCTATTATAAAAATGAAAAAAATGCCCATTTGATTTCTGTTTTACTGTTTAAGTGTTCTATGGAATAAAAATGGATATTTGCAAACCTAGAACTAAGGATTAATTAAATTATTTTACATTTACAAAATAAGAACTTTTTCAAGAAACCATTTATTCTTACGGATTGTAGAGTTTAAATTAAAGAGAAATTCTAACTCAATATATTCTCTGCTGTAATGGTAAGAGGCTACTGCTAAAACAACTTATGCTAGAAATTCAAATGCAGGGAGATCTCCTTTTTAGCGCAGACCTAGTCTCAGTGCACTGACATGCATTTACGTAAACAGAAGAGGGGACACAACAAAGCATGACTGCAGCAGTCTCAAACACATTAAAAGTAAATAAAATTAGTACAGTTACCTTTCCGCCTGACCAAAAGCGCGAGCTCTCGTGTGTGAGATTCTCTGCTGGCTTTTATAAACATTACCACCTGGTCATGTGTATGCTCTGAGATATCTCGGCCATTAATTAATACTATGTGATCACCTTCATTCAGTTTTGGAATGCATTTATCAGCCTGTTTCAAGACCAAAGAAACACATTAATACCATCGCATCCATCACATAAGGAAGAACAAATTAGGGTATTAAGTTCATCATATAAGCAAAGTCTTCAGACTTATCCTGACAGAGTTTCATCGCCTGCATTATCAGTTTTATCAAGGATTCAGATCTATGGCTGTGTTAACGGCTTCAAAGCCTCCCGATGAAGACAAGAAACAACTCAGACAGCATACTGACAGCTATAAAAAGATGTTTTTAATCAAGCAGCCATCACCAGATTGCTTTTAAAGATCTACACTTCAGACTGAGTCTGAATAGCCAATAGCTAAAATCTATTTGCAAATTAATTTCTGGAAAACAAGCTTTGGGCACATAAGATAACACAGATTAAATTATTTAGAGAACAAACTTCAATTTTTGTGCAATACGTATTGAAAAGTAACAGCCATAAAAAATCATGTTTGGAAACTGAATATAATTTATGTAACGTGACATTCCCCAAACTCACTTTTCTATTGAGAGTTTTTTTAAAAAACTAAATCCATGCACATTTGGTATTTTTGTTACCAGATTCTTGTTCAAGAAGGGAAAACTCATCAAGTGCTGCCTACAGATAGAGAGCATTCCTCCCATCAAAGTTGTAATAAGGAGATGCAGGTCTTGACTCATGATGCTTACAGTACTGTGCATTTGCGACAAATTCTATTGCTGCCTCTGCTGCAGAGAGCACTAAAACAAAGTTGCCTCCATTCCAAATTACAAGTCACATTATTGGTATCATCTTGTCCTGGATTAGACAGCTGCTAACCTCAAGGGTATGTTTGGCTTTTTTCTGTCACACTTCTGAGTATATTTTGCTCCAAGTCCAATGCAAATTAATTCCAGCCACGGTCAGACTACAAGTGAGCAAGATTCGACAACCTTTGAAGAGTGCCAAGTAGCATGACTATTTTATTTTCAAGGCCATCCTGAATTTTATTTTGTCTAGGAAACACCCAGCTACGCAAAAGTGATGTACTTAGGCATACACTCCATTTTATATACTTTATATGAATAATATATACTCTGTTGCAGCCTGCTATACTCTATTCATAATTGCTTCCCGTCTTCAAAACTAGCACAGGTTCTCTGAACTTTATTTATCCAATGTTCTCTACCAAAAAACAAAAGGTGAGCAAGGAGTTATGATTAGTCCTCTCCTCCTGATCCTTGTTATGCCTTACAGAAAGCATGGATAGCTTCTGAGGTAAGTTTCAGTGATGTACTGTATCACCAAGTAACAAACGGGAGACGAGAGGAAAGAGAGGTGATGACAGAACCTACAGGAAGAAAAAAATGCAGAAAAAAAAGTAGAAGAGAGGATATGAAGAAGTAAATAAGTCAGGAACTATGTGTGCCAGGGAAAAAAGTAAAAGAGGAAAGAAAACTTGAAATGTGCATGAGAATCAAAAAAGGAAAAGAAAAAAAAAAGGCAAAGAGAAAAAGAAATGTATGCAAGAAGTAAAAACCCACATAAAAAAGCTGCTTAAAAACCTTCCAAGAAATAGCTTCCCCCAACTTTTTCTAAAGAAAGAAGGAAAGAAAATAAGGAAAAATGGGAAAGATAAAAAAAATGAACAAGAGACAAAGAAATGCAAACAGAGGACGAAAGGAATTTAAAACAGCCATGATCTTAACATCGATTTAGCTACCTATTCATAGCTCCTCAGAAGAGCACCTACCACACTTGGTTCATTTTCTGATGGTAACGCTGAAGAATGCAACTGTGAACAATTGATTTATTACTCTGAGATATTACTGCTAGTCGTATTTGAAAAGATAAATGATATATAGAACATATCAGTCATATAGACCTTATCAGGCCAGTCTGAGAGCATCAAGAAGTCAACAAGAATATAAAGGGAAAGGTTCCTGTATCTCCTATATTTGTGCTTAATTTAGACTTCTTGGCTGGTCGCTGGCTGCTATTCTTTGTTACAAGGGGAGATGAATATCTATGCTCAAAGAAACAGTGTTAATCATGTTAATCATGTTAATGTCTCAGTCATCTCTCTTGCTTGAATCACCCAACTGTACAAAATATATTTTGAAAGGGGATTAATTCCTTCCATTTAAGCATAATTTGTAGATTTTTCAGATACCAAGCTTTTCTAGACAATTATGTCAAAGGCTTCCTATCCTATCGACACCCCCTATGTTTCATTTTATGAAACACTGACACACTCTATGTTTGTTTTATGCTAATCACTCCGTTCTCGGCTCCTAGAAGCATGCATACTATTTTTCAATCAGAAGATCTATTAATTACAGCCATAATGACTACTTTATCACCTTAGGATATTAATATTTGTGGGGAAAAAAAATTAGTATTGAGCTTCCATTACAAATACCAGCTCTAATAAATGATTTTTCTCCTTTAGATTTATGCTCTCTCCCACTTCCTTCTCCTATTCTGTCCTCTCCCCAAATCCTTCCAGTGTTCTAGAATGCCGCTGCTTTGGAAGGAGACTTTAAAAAGACTTTAGGATGGGGAAAGGAAAACATTGTCTTATTTTAGTGTGTAGACTTGTCCTCCCTCCCCACCACCAAAAAGACAGAGATCTTTTTGGAGGAAAGAGGAAAAAAAAGAGACTTACGAACCTGAGAAGTAATATTAGCATTTACCGAATAGCATCCCTGAGGGCAATTTGCACGGTAATGAGTAAATCCAGAGCAAGTTAAAATACTAGCAAATACAACGAAGAAATAGTAACGCTGAGGTTCTGTGTAGTTAAAATGACCTAAAAATGCATTCCACATACCACTGAACTTGAACTTTGAAGTGTCAGCTACATTTCATTAAGCAGTCAAGACCAGATGAATTTCAGTTTATGGAAAACAATAACACCAATGTTAATATTGCTATGCTCTAAAAATAATTATCTCTCTCTTTTACCCTTGCTGCAACATGAAGTGATTTCTATAGCATTGCTGTTGAGTGAAATTTGTTAGATAACAGTTCCCAGTTTATTCCCTGACCCTTAAAAACTTTTAACTTGCTTGGTGGCTTAGCAGGCTAGAGAGCCAATTGGTCATTTGGGTCTATGCCTACTAACTGGAGACACTCAAAGGAGGTGTGTAAGTTAGAAGTCCAGTCGCTTCCATTCCCTTTCCAGTCAAAGGGAAAAAAAGATCAACGCTTCCCAGAAGACAATCTGAATCTGCCAAAGGAAATCACTGCCTCTGGAGAAGCCTTTCTTTCTTTAGCTGACTGTGGAATGAACCTGCTGCTTCTACATAATTTTCATCATCTCAAATCACCCTTAAGGAATTAGCTAGACTGAACATGAGTCTTCTTAAGGACATTTTAATTTTCACTTAGGAAATCTAAATTATAATGATAATTTCCTATTACTCTTCTATCCAAATAACTATTGTAGTTCATAAAGGAGTTTTGCACACTGTGCAAGTCTAGCCACAAAACCATAAATGGGACAGAAAAAAACTTCCCACAATCTGTTGTACCTCGATTTACATCATGACATTTAGATATCATTCCTGTGACCGCTTACCAAATTTCAAGAGTCTGCAATATGGAGAGCACACCAGATTTTTCAGGATTAAGGCAGGAATATTAAGTTTGCACTGAGAGTGTTTTTGAGAGATGAGAAATACTTTGAAAGAAGGTGACTGGAAAAAAAAAAAAAGCTTAAAATAAGATAGCATTTGTCCTCACAAATTTGTTATATTAATTATTCAGAAAAAAAATCACCAAGATGTTCTGTCACTGTCATTGTTTCACAATTCAACATAAGAATGCAAGAACGGTTGTACTGATTCAAATGAATGTTCCACTCATCTCCAGTGGCAGCCATAAGCAAAACAAGAACAGTGCAAACAGGTATTCCTTTCCAGGATACTCTCCCATCCTACAACTGATTTTAGCTCCCCGGGTTTCCTTTACCTGTTGTAGTTTGTCTATTCAGTAACCTTCAGCAGGTTTTTCTCCCAAGAATTTGTCAAGTCCTTTCTGGACCCTATTTAAGTTTTCTTGTGCACAGTATCCTTTTTAAAGGAGTTCTATAGGTCTGCTATCTGATATGTGAAGAACCACTGCTTGTTATTTATTTTCAACCTGACTTTCACTGACTTAATTTGTTCTTGTACTGGAATCCCCTCGTTCTAGTGGAATCCTCTGCTATGTTTTTCACAATGGTCCTAATCTTGCAATTCTCTACTACATGTCCCTTTAACTGTTTTTTGTTTTTTTTGTTTTTTTTTGTTTTTTTTAGCTGTAGATGCCCAGACTACTTTTCTTTTAGGAACACTGTTCCATACCTTCAGTCGTGCCTGCTGCCCTTCAAACATTTTCCAATTCAAGATGTTTTTTGGGAGGACAAGGGGAAGCTTAAACAAACTATGCTTTCTACTGGTATCTTTTTTTGGCTAACAATGCCCGATCTTTTCATCTGTGGTTTAAGAAACCAGTGATAAAATTAATTTCTAAAGAGAAAAGCTCAGCTGCTATCTTGTACTGGTTGACGGTTTCCAAGTTTCTATGTGTAAAGACCTATGTGAGAGGGGAAGAGAGTAGCAAAGGAGGAGTTAAAAATTATAGCAATTTACTTACAGGTGATCCTGGAGTTATTCTTGACACCACTAACGGCATTTTTTGATCTACACCACCCTAGAAGAACGTCAAGTAAATAATGACTGTAAACAGCATTTAAAAACAAAAGTAGATGATTGCTGTGTTACACGAGGCCCATGCTGTGTCATTACAGACAGAGTCAGTAAGACTGACTTTTCATCAGTAAGTGGCAGGGTTATTTTTTTGTTTTTGAACTCACCAATTATTAATTTCCAGTAAATTAGGGCTAGTGAGGATGTTCAGTGTCTGCTTACCCACACATTTTAACACCAGCAGGCAATAAACAAATGAAATGCAGCATTTATCCTAACCCTACCCACCAAGTCGAATTAGGCATTTAAACTCACAAGGCAAACTGCATTCTTAGACATTGTGCTGAACCTGGAAGGGATCAAGTAGGATCCAGTGTCCAAAAAACTATACTCCCTTATTCCCTTTACATGACAAATTAAAGTTCTATCAGTGCACCACCAATAAATACCAAATGTGAGACCATCAACTTCAGCTCTTGATTTTACTGATACTATGGCTACTTCACACTACTCTGGCCACTTAAATTTTTACATTTCTAGTGTGTTTTTTTTTTTTAAACTTTTTTTTTTTTTTTAAATGTTGAGGCCCCATTTGCCAGAAGTTGATGCCTTAAACTAGGCTTCCAAGTGCATATTTAAGCAGCTAAATAGGCAGTCTGCTTGGGAAACACATCATTCCTGAAGTACAACTAAAGAATACAAAACTCGCAGAAACTTATTTTGGTAAATGTGGCTTTATCATTTAAGAATCAGGCTGCCACTTCTACAAATTCTTTGTTCATAAGAAATCCATGTAGGATATACCGCTTTCCCCAAACCATCCCATTAAAAATGAAAAATAATATGTCAAAGCATGAGATCTATATAAACCCCTTGAAAATAAAAGATTGCTGTTTTACCTTTAGATTAAATCCAAACTTCCCATCTTCATCTGGTGTGATACGCACCAAAAGTAAGTCTCCCTCAATTAGTCCATTCTGCAATATATATAAAGAAATATATTCCTAATTTTAAAGCTAAAATAGCAGCAGATTAGAATATAGTGTATCCAAATTTAGATATATTCTAGATGAACGCTATGTGTAAATCCACGTTTAAAAAAGGAAGAAGCTAAGATTACAGAATATACTCACTACTATAACCTTTTTCTTTCTTATTATTGTAAAACCAGCAACACATATCATGGTAAATGTGTTCAACGGTTTCTCTGTCCTAACCCTGTTACCCTCAGCTTTCTCTATTGATACCTCCATTTGAAATTTTCAGTGTGTTGTCTTTGCTAAAGGTGACTTGAAAAAGAAAAAGCATTAAGCGTAATGCATTTGAAGAACTTTTACTGTGAGGACTATGAAGCAACTACTATTTCCCAATTCTTTC